CCCTAGTTTCTTCGTCCAACCTATCTTCATCGGTGCTCAAATCCCACAGCCTCTTCTCCCATAATCCCCACCGCTCTGGAGTCAATCCATCTTGACTCGGCCACAGCTCTGTCTCGTCATCCAGTGGCACCGCAAAGTGCTCTCGTAGCTCCTCGTGATCAGTATTCCAGAGCGACCACCCTCCGTCTCGTAGCCATATCGCCGCGACCCGAATATCCAGCGCCCGTACTTGCTCGAGTGGTAAGCTGTGCGTGTTGGAGTCAAGCTCCGGAGGTGCTTCGTGTACTCGTTCGAGGGCGTATCGACACGCGTAAAACACCGTCATAGGATAGCCCACACCTGTCTGTCGACCATGTTTCATTAGTGTCGCTGAGAAGATGCACATGCGGAGGTATAGCTGGTCGGGTCTAATCCTCATCGTGCTCCCAAATGGATCTTCTTCGGTGCCTGGATCGCGTATACCATTCCAGTTGCGTCGTCCTAGGAGGATAGAATGCGCATCTCCCCAGTACATATCAAAGCCAGGTAACTTCGACCAGTGCAGTTGGCCGTCGTGTTTAGCTTCCCGACACAACCGTAGAACTTTGGGCTTCGAGGGCGGTTGCGCGCGAATGGCGTCCAGTAGAGCGATATGAGAGTCGTATGGTGGCGGACAAGACGTGACGGCGATGAAGAAGGCGTCCCAGAGCTCCCAGATCGCTTGATCGGCATCGTGGCTTGCGGTGATAGCGTCGATGATCTTTTCCACCGAATGACCGAAGAGCAAAGGGTAGTCTCTTGATGTCAGAGCTTCTTGAATAAGCGACGAGAAGCGATTTGGCAGGGTGGTGCCTGGGATGTCGAGGATGCTCGTCATTCTGGCCGAAGTGCAAACTGCAGGCTGAACTAATAGAAAGTAGGGTTGCGATGTTGAATATCCTATCCCTTATAACGTCGGTCTCAATGTGATTGCGTTGATGTAAAAACTGCATCAAGCGATGGTTTTGCATGTCATATATCTGGACCCTCCCGAGGCCAGGCAACTGCAGGCACGTGACTTGGTAAACCATGGTCGACCTGTCCGATATCGCTTCGATGCGGGAGCTGGCCGTTAGAGATCAAACCCTCGAAATTTCGGACGAGTTCACTAGGAAGTCGTGAAGGCTGACAGTCGATGGAATACCTACTGGTCCGTCTATGACTGCTTACTACGCCCGATCACACAAGTGCTCTCTTAGCGGGTTGCCCGTACCCCCACGCGCGGTGTGACCTCTTAGCTCATGTAAATTTCGTTGTCTAAAAACTGAATGTTCCAAGGCCTGGTTGATGCGAATATGGTAATGAATGAAGCCCTTCTTTGTCGGAACCAAGAATCTTGGACTGACACAAAAGCCTATCGAGGAATGATACCAAGGTAGATGAGCAACTAAATGTGGGTTTCCATAATGGACTATCAACTTCTGAGCAAGTCAATTGTTGCGGTATGTCAGACGACGGTCACATTCTTGTACGCCCGTTGCCCGGCTTCACAAAGCATCCACTCGACCATCGACAGCATCAAGCACCTCATCGATTATAGTTGCCACCAACAGTCTTTCGAGCAAGCCATGTTTCTCACGTCAGATGAATCAACGGTACTCTCCTTCACAAACGTCGACCTCAGGATGCATAAAGAGCAGCGCAATCTTCCATTTCATGTAGCACACAACCACCGAGTACAACTACAACAGCTCTTCACTCCATACTTATACTATCAATCATGCAGCTACAAGCCCTTCTACTCACCATCCTTGTCACTTTGGCTGCCGCCGCTCCGGTTGCAGAGCCTCAGCGCGGTGTCCCTGACGGCGGTTGTCGTCTAGCCATCCGAGATGCAGAGCCTCAACGCGTCGTCAACCCTGGCGGCTGCCGTATGGCTGTCCGTGACGCTGGAACAAATGCACGATTCCGTGGAGGCGGCGGCCTAACTGCCCGAGATGCTGAGCCTGGAAGGGTAGGCCCAGGGGGACACAGTGGCGGATCGGGAGTTAAGGATAGAGCTCCCGTTCCGCTTGCGATCACCGAAGCCCGCGCAGTCCGTGGGCCAGGCGGGTGGGGCGGTAGCAGTCCCTAGAAGCGCGATGTCTCCTTTCCAGTAAGTGATACCCAAGGCATAGTTAAACTCAAGCTCTCTGGAAGTGGCTAACATGTCTCAAGTTGGAATGAAGGGCCACGATGAGGGTATGACAGTTGGAGCCAGCAGGGCAGAGACTGGTTGGAATGTCGGTGACATGCTATGCGTTCAGTGAACTGGGGAAGACCGAGATTATTGTGTGGATCGTGTACACTGTCGCTATGTTGTATAGGTTAGCTTAGAGAGAAAACGACACCAATTGCGTATCGCATCAGATCGAACATGAGTACCAACGTCGCGACCCGAACATGTCAATATGACTAGGTGTAATATGCCATTCAGGTACATACGATCCTACCACAACGCGCCTGAGGCTGCTCCTATCCATGAAGCTGGACCATGCATGCATTCCAGACACTGCGGTGACGAATCGTTCGATGTAGTAGACATGAGATGAACTACACGTCAACGCTGGGTATGCTTTCCTTCTCAGCCTCCTCCAACTCCACCGTCCACAGATGATACTTCGACCTCGCTCTAATTCTCGGACCGAACTGAAAGAACAGCCACGGAACGGGAGCCATAACCAAAGCGACAAAACCCAGCGTACTGCTAGCCCACGGCGTCCCCATCTTGACGTACATCTGCCGCGCAAACAGCGGGAAACCAGCCGTAAACAAAGACCGCATGACGGCATTAGCAGCCAGTGCGCTTGCCGAGAAACGCCCATAGCAGTCCGTCAAATATGCGTTGGTGCCCAGGAACAGCGTGACAAAGCCAATGCCGAAGGGTATGCCAGAGAGAATGCATACAATCCAGTGGGTAGGTGGATTTGCCGTCCATCCGAACCAGAAGAGCGCCACGGGGATGAACCATGCTGTGATGATGACATGTGGAAGTCGCGCTTCTGGCTTTGGTCCTCCGAGCTTCTTGACCCATATGCCGTGGATGTCGTTAATCCAGGGTGAGCTCGCCGTTGCGATTGCCATGCCGAGTCCGATGCCCAGGAAGGATAGACCTGCGACGCCTTCACTCCAATGACGAGTCTGCCGGAAGACTACTGGGTAGGCGGTGAAGTCAAGGTACAGGATACCCCAGACGAAGGCTGAGTAAAGGCCGAGGACGAACAGGATGGGCTCCGTGAAGAGCATGAGCCATGGTCGAGTTAGGTTGGTGGAGTATTGTTCCTTGAACGATTGCCGTGGGGAATTCCTGCCGGCCTTTGCCATTTTACGTTCTAGCAACGTTGTCGTGTATGTCTCGGGAAGGAAGAAGAGCATGGCGGTATACACGATCGCGGCAATGATAGTCACGGCCCAATAAAGCCATCTCCAATCCAGATGCTGCGAGATAAAACCTCCCGCCACCGGCCCTAGGACTGGACCGAGGGAACTGCCCGTCGTGAACAGTGCAAATGGCACCGAACGATGGCTTTGGGGCCAGATGTCTGCCAAACAGCCGCCGCTGTTGGTCACAACGGGTGATCCAAAGAAGCCACTGAAGAATCGCAGTATCAGAAGAGCAGGAAGATTAGGCGATAGCGCACAGCCGATGTTGAAGCAGAAGAAGAGGAACATGGTGATGCGGAAAACGATCTCTCTTCCCAGTGCTTCTGAGAGCGGTGCAAACAACATTGGGCCCGAGGCAAAGCCGACCAGGAATGTCGTTACGCCTAACGTTGCGACGGTCGGGGAACATGCGAATGTTCTGGTGACACCAGGGAGTGCTGCGGCGTGAACACTTGAGCAGAATGTGATATTCGCGGTCATGAACACAATGACTATCGTCGCCATCCACTTCTTTCGCGCGGGCCAGTTAAACGGGTGTTCTTCGGGGTCGAGTTTAATCTGGGAGCAGCCGTCTTGCACATTTTGATCGTTGAGCACTGCCTTCTCGGCTGGTACGCATTTGGTGGGGTGAGAGCTGAGACTTTCAGGGTCTTGACTAATCCTGGCATCTTGCAGCATTGCGGACGACGAAGAATGACGAGAATGAGAACGAGTGCGATATGATGAGAGATGAACTTGGCTACACTCTGGCCTGGCTTCATTTATGGGCCTAGAGGTGAGAGAAGCACTCATGGGGGTTGGCGGAGCTGTCAGCGTCTACTAGTCGAAACAATTGCTGGTGTGCCAAGTTCAGTGTGCCGTGAGTCATATCGATCGTGGCTCTGTTGGCTTTCGTCTTGTATGGCGTGTGACTGGTAGACATGGCAAGGATACTCAGGAGGGTACCAAAGCTCTGCATGTCGTGATGCGCTCGACCGGACTGTAGGCGAAGGCGTAGGATTTTGGTCGGGCGGCAACAGACGGTGACGGGACGATTCGCTTCGATCTAAGGCTTCCCGCAAACGATTCGCGGTGCGAAATGGCAATGGATCGGGAACGTAGTTTCCGGGTGATTTCGCACGTGCAGGCTGAGAAAGGATGCAGTGCGGTACTCGGTGTCGATGCGCAGAAATGGCATGCCCGAGTTGTATTACACCTGGACAGGCTCCAATAACGGGCGCTAACTCGACCCCGTGGGGTACCTGGTGAGGGAAGCATGCAGAGTAGAACAGAAGACGAACATAATGGTGGTGGGCTAGTAACACTCTCATTCCAACATAGACTAGCTTCTGTTCCATATCTTGGGGATTCAGTGCGCCCTTAATGTGCCTCGGGAAATCGTCAAGGGCTGAGTCTGGAAGGGTCTTCGATTAAGCGACGTACGCAACGCCAAATAAGCACACGAACATTGGTGGAGAAACCAGCCTTGTCAACAACGCCCTGTGACAGCCATGACCGCCTCTTCCAATCCTTCGTTGACATAAAGATCAGTAAGGCGCAGGGCGTAAAGTGGAATAGTCGCCAGATGTGGCACAATCGAGTACCTCTCAAAGCAGCAGTCAACGGCTATTTCATTGCTGCTAAAAGCGCGGTGGCATCTCCTCGAGTTCATATCTCGAGTGTGTTGGTAGTACGTTCTGAGTGTTGCGAGGAGGTTGGAGCGGCTCAGCATCGGATGCTGAGGTCGCTCTTCCTGTACGGGATTCCTTGTTCGACTTGAAACGTCCCCACATTGATCCCTCCGTCAGAGCTTTCCAGTATCTGTTTGGAGCGGCAATGATGCGATTATGATCATGCTGGTCCGTCAGCGATGCCGTCTTTGTTCCTGGCACTGGTTCAATATAAACATGGCCACCTTCATGGTTGATGAACCAGCCAAATTTGTAATCCTTGCCCTCGGGCCCGCCTCCGCAGCTCCCTGCAAGTGCTTGGGTGGGAGGTGAGTTCACAGCGAGTGCGAACAGCTGTGCTGGCTGAGTAAAATCGGTCACAAATCCCGGTTGCAGGATAAAGTAGCATAGCAGATACACATTGAGAAGGAAGGTGGCAATGAGAACCACAACCCATCCTTTTGATGCATTGTCCACGCCACCCGATGCGTACTCTTTTGACTTGATCTTGGCTCTGAACCACTGGTTCAGTGGGTTGTCAAGTTGTGGATGAGAATAGTTCTTTAATCGGTCAGTCTATTTTTCCACACGCGTGTTCCATGATTGGAGAACTCTCCATTCAAGACTTACCCAATAATTCACAAGAGGACTGTCTCGCAACGACATGAGGATGGTGTCACTAGCTGTTATAGCCAATGTCTCGGCTAAGCTGGGAAGGAGGGGATTGAGCTTGACCTGCATGCTCGAGGGATTGGAATCTTCTGGGGCCAGGGCTAGTGACATTAAAGTGCGTTGAGAGCTAGCGTTACTGTCCGTAAGACCCAGGCCCAAGTTGATGCTATTCGCCCAGTCATTACCTATATCTCTCCAGTTGGGGAGGACCAGAGTTTGTGTGGCATACGTAGCATCCTCACCATTCTGGAAATATGCCATGTTGCTCGCCCGGTCTTCGCATAAAGCCTCCAATGTGGACTCAGAACCAGACACAGTATGAAGTGTACTACAACGAGGTGTTATCGCGACTTCTAGCTTGCAGAGTGGATATACACCAGTCGAATCCTGACGCTGAGTCCTTTGGTCCACTCTGTCCTGACAAATATATCGCAGTTCCTCCCCAAAAATAACTTGTACCGTTGAGGATTGTGTTGAATGGCAATGGATACCGCGCGAAGACTGGCGGATAGTTGTGCATCGCATCTTTGGTCCATCCGAATAGTTCATCGACTACTGTCTTATTTGTGGTTGTCGCATTGTCGCGTGGGCCTGGAATGTTCGTCCACTTGGCTACTTCCAAGTCGCTGTTTGGCCAAGCATCGTAGATTATAGGTTCCAGCTCCGTTTCGTTCATATGGACGCACAAGACTTTCATTACGGGCGAAGACACTGACGCCCATAGAGAATATGGCTCGATGGAGTCTGACGTATCAGATTGAGGCAGATGATTCCTCTGATCGTGTGCTGCGTTAGACACGCCAATGTGGGGCAAGGCAAGGGAAACGTTGTTGATAACGCGTTTGTACCTTCTCGATGCCTCCGCAGTGTCGACGACGTTGATCCATTGAGGAACAATCCTTGCATTGGCATATGGGAAGCCAATCCAAGTGGGCCGGTGCTCCTTGATGATGATAGTCTGTTTTTGGCGCCTTTGACGTCTGCAACGTCTTCCCAGTGGGCAAGGAACTGCGCCAAATTATAGAAGCTTTTACCAGCGCTTTCAGCTTGCATGCAGCTCGAGCTTGCTTCTATATCGGCTATCGGCGTTTGACAAAGACTTTGGACGTAGTTTATATTAGCGAAGTCGGTCTTAACCGAACCGATCATGGTCTTATCATGCCAATCGCCGTGCTTCGCTACAGGCTGTACAAGAGCAGTCGCAGCTGTTACGTAGAGCGTAGATAGAATGGTGCTTAGTAAAGTCAAAGTTCCGAGTGCAGAGAATCCAGCATATCGCGCGATCTCGGATGAGGTGACAAGGGATCCAGGCTGCACAACCCAGCGCCACATGGACAGCTCTGAGATAGATACCCCTTGGCCCTGGCTATCCTTCATGGCTCTTCGACTAATTTTCTGCCCCAGGAAAGCTACGAAAGCAGTGACGAACGATAACTCGATTGTCTTGGCCACAACAGATGTCCAAAGTATGGCTGCGGAGATGCTTATCTTCGCTTCCGGGCCGTTGCCAATATAACTTCCATAGCGTTGACCTTTCAGCGCTAATACAACAAAGAAAGCCGATAGAGCAGTCGAGACGCTGGATATGAAGATGATGGTACCACTAAGCCATGTAAGTCGAGAACTACGAAAGTTTCGTCGCGTTGGACAATCCTTGTCTGGGCGGAACTCATGTTTCGTGCTCAACGGTGGGTTTAGCGAGTCGCTTGGGTCAAGGACAGTGTCTTCGTCTGCGGGATGTAGATCTGCGAGTACGTCGGGTCGCGGGGCTCGCTCATCGCTGTATTGCATACGTTCGGGGTTACTAGTATGGGCGACTGCTGGACTGTAACCCTGAATTAGTGAGGTTTTAGACCCTTCTCCGACTGCGGCTCCGGCCGCTGAAAGTATACTGATAGTGCGCGACGCGCCTCTCGCCGCTCGGTCGTCATTGCTATAGTGTGGCGCGATTTCGCCAGTGTTGCCAGGACGCGCATGAGCATCGCTTTTGTACGCCTGTAGGCGTAAGTCTTCGAGGGGAGTATATATGTCGGTATGTCTTGATGCAGGCGATGCGATACTCGTGTTGGCGTAGGTAAGATGGTGTTGAGTGTCCTGGCCGTCTGCCATCGCCGAACGGACCTCGGGAGGGTCTAGCGCGCTAGCACAATTTGGTTAGCAACTCCCACTAGCGCGCAAACTCGGTCTAGTATACCTACGATCTTAAGATGTGGGCAACGTCGTCCTCTTTCGGATACTTTGGGGTCTAAGTTCGAGTAAAGGATAGGATAGCTAAGACGAGTACGAGATAGCCAACGCTACAGGTTCCAGCGCAGAGCCTGCGTCCCGCTGTCGTGGCGTTTTAACAGCCCCCAATGCACCTGGTACATTATGTCCGGCTTGCATGTGGCTTGCATGCGATATTGTCTTCGGCTCAGCCTTGCTCGGGGGCAGACGAGCCGATGGCTGCTATACAGACAGCCAGGTTGGAGTGCGTTGCTGGCCAACATTGAAGTTTTCACCACTCTAGTATAAATACGAGTATTTCAGATCGGCAGGCGCAGGAGCAGCTTTCAACCTTCAGATCATGATGATGTGAATACCTCGAGATCCACGCCAGCGTTCCAGCATTTCAGTGGCGTTATTGGCTGGTGGTTGCGCTCGTGATTGGGGCCCTCGGGTGCTTCGCCCCCACACCTCAACTCATCTGAGGAATTGACGTTATCGCAATATAATCTGCCCGACCGTCCCGAGGTCTTTCTTCGGAGCATGATGCATGACAGGATGCAAGACGACCTACTCAATGCTTCTGTCAAGTTCTTTGTTCCCGGCTTTCTGTGTAGTTAAATCTTGTCTAAGGTCATAGTATTCACACGGCAAAAGGCGTAGGTTCCGATACCCGAGAGATGAAGAAGCAACAAGTATATCGCAGCTTTCAACATGCACGGCAACGCCAGTAAGAGAGTCTCAATACAGCTGAAACTATACGCGTATCCCGTTCCGTTCCATGTATACGCAATGCTGCATCCTCGATGTGCTCGCGGTCTCGACATTGCTTCAATCTTTCTTATCCGATTGCACAATGAGGATATATATTAATTATCCACTCATTCTTCCATATACGACCATAGGATCATGAGAATTAGGCTTCCCGTCCGCTCAGCCATATACAAGCATGATACCGGCAGATTAGTAGTTAGGTGGGTGACCACTAGCGAATCCCCGCTGTTGTATGTTTTTTGCCAAAAAGTCAGCATCTTCTTTTTGCCCATCACCAAAGTAAAGACCGCCAGAACATCTAATCGAGCGACTCAACAGTCGTGGGAACACAGTGGGTGGCGTGTGGAGAGCGTTGCCAAATGGCGACGTCACTTTTCTTTTGGAAAGACGAAGCGTCTCGAGGCTGTCGCGAAGCGCATACACTATTGACTACTGAACATGTAAGCAAGGATAGAGGTATCTTTGCTAGACACAATTGCGAAACGGCAGCCTGATTCACACGTGTGACCTAGTAGATGACACGTTGTTTGAGAGTGCAGGCTCGCACACCACTAGCATTTCAACAGCGGGATGAAGTAAACAATGCGATTCATCTCGATCAACAACTACATCTACGTCGCAGTACCATTCACCGCCACCGTCCCATTCGCAACCCCACTACTAAAGTACGCGCAATGGATAAGATACTTCGACGTCTCCGCACTAAAGCCCTCCAACGCAACAGCATCAATCTTCTCCAACGAGAAAGCGCCATTATTCATCTTCGTGTAATCACTCAGCGGTATCCGCAGAACAACGGGACTACCGTTCATACTGCCATACGCAGACGTCGCAACACTCAGTCTCTGTATCGCCGTCTGGCCATCGCAGCCGAACCCGCCACTTTGCAACTGCACGTTGAAGCTCGCGCCTGCACTCGCCGTGACGTTGAGAACGAGGTATTGGGACGCGGAGACGTCGGCGCAGTTTTGGAGCGAGTACCAGTATGACCCTGATACGCTGGGTTGAAGAACCAAAGCGCCGTCTGTGACGACGGGCGCGACTTCCATGGTACCGTCGTCGCTTTGGACGTAGCCGTGGTTGTTGCGGTTTGCGACGCCAGGTGTGCAGTAGTTCAGCCATGCGTCTTCGGGGCAGTTGCATGTTTGGAGTGAAGGCGTGGCTGCAACGTTGATCAGACTGATGCAGCCGACCTTGACGTCGACGTCAGAGGGGTTGAACGCTGAGAGCGCGACGCTGTCGAGTCTGCTGGTGTTCATGCCGGAGAAGTCGGCAAAGGGGATCTGTGCGACTTGGTATGCGTCGGCGCTGGTGAATGTGACGAAAGAGGTGATGGGGACGGAGGAGGGGGGCGAGAGTGTTGTGCACTCCTCGTCTGTCTTCCAGCGCATCGTGACCCGGAACGTGGTGCCTGCAGGAGCGGCGACGGAGAGTTGGATGCCGGTCGCGTTCAACGTGTTCGCGTTGTAACATCCGCTGTTGTCGAATTGGGAGTACCAGTATGAGCCACTCGTAGATCCCAAGACGAGGGAGCCGTCGCTGTCGACGGAGTACGAAGCGAGAGAACCTTCATCGGTCATCTGGCTGAGGAGTCGATTCACGCGTGGAACTTCTGGCACGAATGTGCAAGTGTTCAAGATGGTACCTGAGCAGAGCGCGCAACCAGGACTGTCCGCTGGTCCTGTGAAGACCAGAGAGTGAATGCGGTACGTCGAGCCAGGAGAATTGAAGTTAGTCATAACGAATGACTGCAGGTATTCATGGTTGAAGGTAGCTGGGAAGCGCGAGAATGGGATCGTGAGCTGAGTCGATGCGGCGTTGAATGTAATCGGAACGTAAGACGTGACTACGTTGGTGTTGCAGCTATCAGTGCCGTACTTGAAACCAATGTTCGCGGTTGCGTCTTGTGGACCTGAGACAGTGAGAATGATCGCGTCATAAGAGCTGTTAACCGCTCTGCATTCGGTCGGCTTTGCGAGCAACGAGTAGAAGTATGATGTCGCGTCTTTGGGTACGAGGTCAACATATCCGCGGCTAGTCTGCTTGTAGGATTGCATCGTTCGGTCGTCAGAGATAGCCGCACCCAGGGCATTGGTCTGTGTCTTGAACTCATTCGGGTCGCAGAAGTTCAG